CGATTTGGAAAAGTCCAATTTATATGTCTTATTAAAATTAAATGTCTGAATTTGAGGGAAAATGGAGATCATAATGATGTTCAAAAAGAGCAGATGACAGCCAAACTGGAGGGAGGTGGAGAGCACGGATACTGCAAAAGGAGAGCGAGCTGGCGAGGTGGGAGAACTTGCTAGAAGCTTCTTCCTTAGAAGAGAGTCAGTAGAAGAGAGTCAGACTAGCCAAGGTGGCTAGGTTTTAGGAAGAACCCTCTAGTCACAGGATAAAGGAGAGCAAAGAGGGATGGGAAAGTCAAATTCGACACACCCAGTTGAGTTCTCAAAGGCAAGCCATCAAGCTGACCAACCACTCACAGGCTCACCAGGACCATGTTCAGAGAGCCAGCTCTACAGATGCCACAGCACTCTGGGAAGTAACCAGTCCTGAATAGCTGGCTTCACCGTAGGGCTGGGAAGACCGTTAGCTGTTTTCCTTTGGTCTTCTTCCACTCATTCACTGTGGAAACATACCCCACACTCAATAAAACACATCAATTTGTCTCAGCACATCCGAAGATGAGAAGCTATGGCCCTCTCTCTTCAGAATGCCTAGCACCATCTAAAGAGCCCAGACCCAAGGAAAGGAGAGGCAACACCAAGAACTCAGCATCTTTCCAATGCTCAGCTTCTGGCAAGTTGAATCCTTGAAAAGCTGATTGCTGGCACCCTGGGGCCCTCCCAGCTGCCCAGCTGTAATGAATGGCGTTCAGGACAGAGAGTGAATATCTTAGCACCTCATAGATAATGACATCTGACAAGCAGATTCTGAAGACACTGAAAATCGCTGCCATTTAAGTGTTAGGTGCTGTGTGTGTGGCACATCAAGGGAAGTTTAAAGGAAGGAAAATGATGGGAAATGCATGGCCTTTGTGCTACCCAGGTCTGTGGTTTATACACTGCAGCCACTCCCCCGTTTCCAACCTAGGGCCTGGGCATTCAAGGAAACAATGTGAATGTCTTATCCTGTGACTATAAGATCTGTTGTTTTTTTCCTTGATGCTATGAAGACAGTTGAACTAGAAAGATACGCATTGAAAAAGAAATTCTCAAATGATGATCTTTACTATTTACATTGTGGGTGAGGCATATTCCATTTTAAGTCTCACAGATCCTGTGCATTGATAACTAGGGGAAATGAGTCGGAGGGAACAAATAGAACTCCTCTTCCTGCTTATTTGAATGTGCTTACATTAATAAGTTGGGTTTTTTTTTTTCCTCTTTCTCTTTACTTCCCTTAATGTTTCCTCAAAATGCTCATAGATTTAGACTGCACTGTTCACACGCTCAAGTTCTAGCTCGTGAAAAACATAGCCAGTGGGCAGGGCACAGGGGTGCACCCCTGTAAAACTCAGGAGACGGAAGCAGCAAATCGTAAGTTCCATATTGGGCTCTCACATAGTGAGTTCGAAACCAACCTGGGCCACATTGTTAGACCTTGTCTTAGTGAATGAATGAGTGAATGAATGAAATAATGTGATATTTTCTCCCTTCCACTGAGATGGTATAAACTCAAGTCTCCGCCATTTCAACTATTAAAATTATACTGAACCTCAGAAAACCAGTTGGTACTGTTTGGGCAGCATGAAAGGAATGGCAAGAAGCAGACTGTGCTTCTGGGGAGGGGACCCTCAATATGAATAGCATTGCTGTTGCTCCGCCTTTAGTTAAAGGGAAAGGAACCGGTTCCAGGTAGTTTGGTGATGAAGGAAGAGAATCTTTGGGGTAACTCCAATCCCACTCATTCAGAAAGCTTCCTTGGGATCCGGTCCTCGAACCCCGAAGGGTCCCTTTCTAACTGTTTCTTTGCACCTATCCTAGGCCAGAGATAAATTCATTGTCGAATACCATCCTGCAAAACCTGAAGGGTTTTCACGTCTCTAAAAATACCCCCAAAAGGCAATACAGCTGCTTCCGCGTGAAACTCCTTCAGAATGGACTGTAAAAGCTGTCTTCCAAATGGTACCAACCACTTCAAAATGCAGTGCCCACATGAATTAACAGGATGTCATTTCTTAGAGTAGTAGTACCAAAGACTAAGTTTAGAATCCAAAGAATTACAAATGGATTTTCATTTGTTTGTTTGTTTGAATTAAAATGTAGAAAGTAACTCATATTCACAAAGCTCTGTCCCTTTCTTCCCCCCCCCCCCCCCCAGTGATCATAGCAGCTTTGTGGCTAGGTTACAGAGTGGTTCATAGCAGCTCTATCACCTTGTGACTGGGTTATAGAATGGTCAACTTTTCACTTATATTTGTGGATTGTTCTGAAGCATTTCCTGTTCTAAATCTTCTCATAAAAATCCATTTCATGGAGGTCAGCGGAGTTCACGTGTATATGACCCGGAGGTTCAAGTTATTGTTTGGGCCAGGATCTAAAAACATCAAAACAAAACAACAACAAAAACCAAAACACCTAAGCTTTTTTTATTGTTGTTGTTACATTTTACTATGCATTAGTAGAAAAGAGAGAGAGAGAGAGAGAGAGAGAGAGAGAGAGAGAAAGAAAGAAAGAAAGAAAGAAAGAAAGAAAGAAAGGAAGAAAGAAAGAAGAAAAATATAGCTTTGGGGGTGGGGTAGGGAGATGTATTCTCAAATGATAATTTTGCTAAATTATTTGGAAGTTGAGCAACACAGGGCCTAATTACAAGGGACAAAGGCCTGTAATTCCAAGGCGGCCACAGTTGTCTGGCAGAGAGCAATTCCTCAAGCGATTTACTTAGTCTCCTGGAGCAGCTTATGTTTTACAGTGAAAGGTTAGTTTCATGGGGATTATGGCCTAGGGTTTTTGGTCATAACAAAGTAAAATGTTTTCTCCACTGTGTTTGGTTTCCAATCCCTTACATTTTTTTCACATCCACTCAAAATTCCAGTTGAAAATGACCAAAAGGAAAAGGCAAGGCTTCCACTGCCTGCTCCTAAAGGTCTCTTATCTTGGCCTCAAAAACTCCCTGCCTGTTTGCTGTGCTGTTCTTACGGGAAGTTAGGACAAAGATCTGGTCACCATGGTTATCTTGTCCTCAGAGAGACAACAAATCGGGCATTCATATCTATTCTGGCTAAGGAGGAGGAGGAAGAACAAGATTAAGTTTGTTTTTCTTGTGATTACCTTTGGGCAGGGCTCTTGGTGGTGCCCCGTCTGGTACTGTCTTCCCAACAGCCCCACCAAATGAGCAGGTGGATAGACCTGACTTCGTGAGGCCTTCATGCAGTTCATCACAACTGCTCCATTTCCAAGACGGTGATGATTATGTCTGACCCTGAGCAAACAGCTACGCCGCAGGCAGCTGTACAGTTGACAGGGCCTCCTTCATCCTTTTATCTCAGCCTTTTTTACCTCCCTCCCTTTCTCTTTGTGGCCTGGTTCCCACTCGAGACCCAAACAGCTTACATTCTAATCAGAACAAAGTGAGAGAGGCTAGCATGGTGCTTCCTTTAAAGACCATAACCTCTTGAAACAGAGGCCCACGTGACTTCCTCGCAGGACCACTAGGTAAAATTTGGTCACAGAACCTGAGAACTGTAACTGAACCCTGGGTGAAGCCATGTGTCTGGCTGAGATGTCTATAAATAAGGAAAGAAGGGGAGGTTTGGACATCTGAGGATGTTGGCTTTCCCTGCTGCATAACCTAACTATATTTGAGAGAAGAATTTGGGTGGCGTATTACTGGGGCTGTGTTTCCAAATGCAGAGGAAGAACAAATGTTGGGCCATCTCAACAACTGAAGGAAGATTTCTCACCTTGTCGAGTGCTATTCACTTCCAGCTAAACCTAACACCTTCTTCTAAGCTAACCATAGCCAAATTAAGCTCATCACTAAGCTATCAAGACGAATGTTCTTGAAGCAGGGCACTCTATCCCTCTGCCTGCATTTGGTTTATTTACAGTGAAAAAGTAGGTTGAGGATGGAGTTGCAGAAAGCGATCCAGATAACGGTTACCCTATATGTCACAAAACTGATAGCTAGACGCTGGAGAGAAAGAGAAAGAAAGAAAAATGTCCGAATCGCCTTAGTGTAGAGTGTCCTAACCTGAGCTCACTGAATAATTAATTGCACTTAATGCTTCATGTTGATTTTAGAGTCTCTGTAAAAATAACACAGACAAGCCTGGTTTTTTTTTTTCATTTTTCCTGGAGCATTCTTGACAGTTTAGAACTGCAACCCCTACCTGCTGCTCCCCTGAACTAGATGCTGCTTTCCTAAACGGAATGACTGACTTTAACGTTATCACATTCATTTCCTGATCCAACAGACAACAAGCAAGGAAAATGATTGAAAGCCAGGATCTATTTAAGAGTCGCTCATGGGCAAATGTGCTGCCCCGTGGAATCTGGCAGTCCATTCTTGGGGAGTTGGACTCCTTCGCAGAGCCAAGTAAATCATCCAGCTGCTTCCGGTTTATAACAGAGCTTACACATTGTAAGTCAGTCTAGAAGCGAACTGGAAAGAGGGTCATAGTTCACAACTGGCCTGTGAACTTACAAAAAGGAGAGCACGGAACAATTACAAATGTTTGGCTGTCATTGTGCAAATGGGGAAAACCGGCAAAGGTAGATACTGACCTGTAGGTACCCACCTAATTAAATACTGGGATCTGGAAGCCCCAGCTCAGAAAAGTGTGCACGTTCTGATGTTGCCACTTGGGATAGCTTAGGATGTTTAGGTAGAGTAAACAGAGCCTTGTGTGCACACTCAGCAAGGGCCCAACATGAGGACTGAGTATATATATTTATATACAAGCCAGCTTATAATTGCTAAGTAAAGTAGCAATCAGCAATGAACAATTTAACAACATAGCAGTTTTCAGTTTTCCCTTAGGTCCTCAAACTTTTTCTCACATCGGTTAACTTGCCCTATTCATCTAAATACGGGAAGCCGCTGGCTTTTCCATTATTGGAAGTGGCCTATGGCGAGTCCTTGTGCTTGCGCTCTGTGGAGTTGCCCCCAGCCTATGAGAAAATAACACTGATAGTCTCTGGGAGAAACAACAGCTTGTATCTTTTTTTTTTTCATTGTGTTTTATGCCAGGTGCCTTTCTGTTGCCTACATCAGTTCATCCCGTCTGCCCCTTGGTCCTACCCTATTTATGGTTGTAGAAACTGCCAGTAGATCATAGAAGTAAGTCACTCTATGTCCTCCAGCTCCCAAGTAATTGTCACCGTATGCACTGTGCTGGCCACCAGCAGAATAGATGACGTCACTCAAAAGTGTTCATAGAGGAAGCAGTGAATTGAGCTCTGGTCTTTCCCCTTCCTGTTTCCTCTCTTTTTCCTAGTTTAGCTCCCTTGACATGGTTGTTTTTCTCAGTTTGTGGCACACTGCCTTTTTTGACCTAAAACTGCACACACACATGTATGTAAACACTTACTTTATGTGGTAAGGGACCCTTACCTCATATCACCTCCTAACCATGAGTAATGCTATTGTTTTAAGAAATGAGCAAATAAATGAATAATTTCATAAAGCAAACACTATCTGTTGAATGCTGGGCTGCTGTTGGAGAACAAAAGCCTTGCTCCGCTACCAGAGACATTCTTGGCTCTCTTTGTCACCTCCCTTTGTTCAAAACCCTCTGAGTTTTAATATCTTACTGGAAGTAACAGGAAAGCAGTAGGTTACGTGAACACTGTTGGGGTTTTTAAGTTTTATTTTGGCATTTTGACAGTGAGCGGTTATGCCCTGTAATCAAAGGAAACCATGAACTGGCCATCTCTTAGCAACTGACTAAAGATTACTCCCAGGGAGTAATTTATGGGTCCGAGTGTTCGTGCATGTAATGGGCAAGTTCAAAGCCAACAGATCCCACACTCACTCATTAACAGCTTTCAGTATCCTACAAACACATGAGCCTCTTTTGAATGAGATGGTTGAGCCAACGAGCACAAAATGTCCCAAATGGGCAACGCTGTGTGAAAGAAAGTCAAGGATTGGACCTTTTTTTTTTTCCTGCTGTTTAAAATCTAATTACAGTTTGAAGTCACTAGTAATCATTTTGCCATTCTTCTACTGCCTCTGCTGAAGTCTCTTCTACCTCTTTCAAGTAAGGGGGACATCTGTCCCCCAGGGGCGGGCTGCGTCATAGCAACCTGGCCTTGGCTGACGTGTTCTCCCAGTGGGCATCTTCTCCGCCTGTGAAGTCTGGTGCACTGAGGAGATCCGTCAATCAAACCAGCTCCTACTCACTCCCAGGAAGCTGCCGCTCTCAGATCCTTAATGAGCCAAAGGAAGGTGCAATCAACACAGATTCTATTCAGCCATCTGTGCAGTAAAGAAACAAATATGGCTTCAGGATAATTCATTCCATCTCTCCAATCCATGATTTAATCAGCTCTCTTTAAAAACTGTTTATGAGAAGAGAAGCCCTGACTGGGGAATTCATCTGAATGATGACCAAGACAAAGGAGGATTCCATATTTGAAATAATTTAACCACAACTCACACACGTAGACACTAAGAAATGTTCACCTTTTACTAGCAGAAGGGGTAACATTTTAGGGACTGTGGGTCAGCTCCACTTCTAAGTGCTCTATGCATTTAAACCCATTGACTCTTCGCACAACCCCGGGAAGTTGGCACCGTCGTCAGCCCTGTTTCTAGAAGAGGGAACTCAATCTGACTCAGGGCCAGCGCGAGTGCCTTCCTTAAATTACCCATCTGGAAATGGTAGAAAGGCTTTGACAAAGCTGACTGGATTCCAGGTTCAACACTGTTGCTTATAATCTGGATCCATGGTGGGCAGTATGGTCGCTCCTCCAATTGCTGTTTGGAAACCAAGTGCTACCATTCCTAAAAATAGCTCAAATCTGGATCATGAGCATTTTTTTTTCTGAGACACTTTTCTGAGCTGTCTTCCCATGAAACAGAATGCACACCTAGATCTATTTATTACGAGAGAGGCACAACTGCTTGCCTGCGGGCGGGTCACTTGCTGTTCAGCTCTCAATCTAAGCAGGTTAAAGGAATGTGCCTGACTTTAAGCCTGCCCAGTGCTGGCCAGGTCAGCATCATGGGCCGATGAACAGGAGGCACCGCTATTAAGAACAGCCTTCGTTTAAAAGTATACTGTTACATAGTCCACTGAAATTTATGGAGCAATTAGTGTGTGTTATTCCTCAACTGGGCACTTACTATTCTTCGTCTGTACTGTCTCTAAGCCGTTTGTACTCAAGGGAAACGTGAATGGAGCCATCACTCCTGCCTACTCCCCAAGGATTTAGGCTCAGTCTATATTTTCAGCCAATTATATTTCAAATCACTGAGATAACTTTTTTTACATATTACATAAAATACTCTTGAATCGGCTTTTCTTAAGGTACTCCTAAAATGTAACAGGGTTCTTCACTGTCCTGATAAGTCAGAGTCTACTGAAACATTTTATTAATGTTTTTCCTGATTTAAAACTTTCAGTCACTCTTTAGTCCCAATTACTGTAGATTACACTTAATTTATTTCTTTAAGCTGAAGCAGTTTTGATTTTGTGTTATTTTATTATCTTTAAGTTCTCCATTATTTTTGAGAATTTCATATATATAATAAAATATAATTATATCCATCTATCCCTCTTTTTCCCCTTCCAATCCCCTCAAACCCTTCCAACTTCTGCCCTTTTTTTTTTTTGATAACCCAGTAAGTCCAGTTGCTACTGCTCATGTGTACTCGTGCGTGCCGCTCTCCACTGGAAAATCTGCCGGTTACCATAGACTCAATAAAGAATGATTCTCCTGGGCCTTAGAGATGGCTCAGTGGTTACAAGCACCTGTTCTTGCGGAAGACCCAGGTTCAGTTCTCAGCACCCACATGGTAGCTCACAGCCATCTACGGCCGCAGTTCCGGGAGATCATTCTCTCTTTCTGGCCTCTACTGACACACAATGTACATATATACATGCAAGCAAAATACTCACATAAGAATAAATGAATGATCCCTCCCTGCAGTTATTGTCAGAAGCTCTTCAGTATAGGGCAGGGCCTGGCTGGTTTGGTCCTGTGCAGTTCTTGTAAAAACAACCATAGCTGCTGTGAGTTCTTAGCGGAATAGCCAGAAGACAGCATATCACAGAACTCCTTCCTGCTCTCGGGTTCTTACAGTATGTCTCCAGCGCTGCTCCTTGAGCCTTAGTGGTGGGAACATTAATATAGATTATTGTTTGGGGCTGAGCACCGAGTCTCCTATCCTTAGCCCTTTGATAAGTTATGCACCTTTCCGGTGACCGCTGTTCTCATACCAAGGTTGAGAGCAGCCCAGGTGTGTGGGTATAAATGTAACCGGATGGAAAGCCAGTTGACAGCATGACCATTTAGCAAAATAGCAATAGCAGGCTCCACCCTAGGGCCTATGGCCTCCTCAGCGAAGGGTTTGCCACCAGGATTACAGTACCAGAAATGAAATCCCCTCTTGAGGAGCAGATCTCTCATCCAATCAGAAAGCTGTTAGCTACCTAGAACAGTCATGCCACCTTGACCTCTTGCCTGGCAGGCCTTTACTGTAGGTCTTTCCCTATTTGTTATGCTTTCCTTAGAATATTGAAGGGTAGTTTTTGGAGAGAAAAGCTATAGATTGCAGGAGACAGATTTAAAACTGAAACAAAGGGAATTTTTCTCAAGTTATTCCCTTTCTGTTGGGATAATCCTATCTTATGATTAATGTATCAAAATAAATGTTAAAACATTTGCTTTTAGTCTTAAATCTCTCTCTCATTTTAGACAAAGTATATAACCAAATACCTCTAAAATTAACCACGATTAAGTAAATCATTTTATTTGCAAATATTAACATACATTGACTAGAAAACTTGGGTGTCTTAAAACCTATCATATTGGTTGCCACTATTATTTGGCTTACCTTTTATGAAATGATTCATAAGGCCTTAATTTGTATTCTCATAACACAGTTCCTTATCTTTTCATAGAATCAAATATTCTAAAGATGTGTTAAGATAAATTCTAAAATTATTCTTTGATGTATTCAAGTAGAAAGATTTATTGCATCTTTGCTGTTGTAAAACGTGTTTTTGTGAAAATTTTAGGTAAAGGGTTCTGGGTGCTGATGAGGTGGGAAAAGCCTGGAGGAAACTAACATATAGATAGAACTGCATTAAAATGTTACAGTCTGCTGCTATTCTGTTTGGTGTTGGCTTAACGTATTCACGAAGTTCAAGTCTGGTCTTGATGTAGATCAAGTATTAGAGTCAGTGGGTCTAGTGAAAGAATGGGGACATCTTTTGAAGTTTTTCTACAAGACAGTGCTCACAATATCATAAGTTCCAACCTGCTGACCCTGTCTGTTATTAAAAACATTCATTTTGAAAGAAGTTGTAGAAAGTTGACTAAAACACAAACATGTTATTTTAATAATACCGTATCACTTGTAATTTTAACAAAAGGAGATTATATATAAGACCTATTCATCCACATAGCCAATTAACAAATGATAGTTGTCATATGTGAGAAAGCCAGTTTCTCATTACATGTAAAGGTAAGAGTTGGCTGTGTAAGTGTACAATACCACACTTACAGAATTCAAAGTGAAGGTCACAAAGGGAGGTGGTGGTTTCAGAGTCCACTGATTTGCCTCAGTGTTGACCAGATTCATGCCGGTGATCAGAATCCCATGCTAGATCAATTAATGCCTAATTTCACAAAGGTAAACAATGGTGTTTGTTCACTATCAACGTGTGGCAAATTAATTGTAATGACAGGGAGGTCACTAATGACAGTGTCATTTCTTTGAGACAGGATTTCTTGTAGCCCAGGCTATCCCTGAATTCACTATATACTCAAGGATGACCATGAATTTCTGATCTCACCACATCCACCTCCCGAGTGCTGGGATTATGGACTTGTGTCATGATGCCCAGCTCATGTTGACAGTTTTGGTTATATTATGGAACCCGGATTTGTTCTACTCTCCTTGAGCTTCTCTGGCTCACACCTCTACCACAGTTACATTTCCATAGTTACCCAAGTGCTAAAAATGACTACGTCCTTGAACTTCCTAAAGGGAAAAGAAATCTTGACTTGAGAATGTCACCATACTCATTCTTTCCCCTGTCTACCCTGCATGGAGCCATTCCCAGAATAAGGGCTGTTCCCCCTGTAGGTTCCAACCCATGACTGCGTTTCCTGTCTGAATCACATTCTCCCATGGAAGGGCCCTGCTGTGATGACGGAAAACAAGATAATAAGCAAACATGTAAGAGGCAAGGCAGTAAGAAGAGCTCTGCAGGTCAACTTCCAAAGAATAAGGGAACCAAGGAGGAAGGCAATGCATATGGGCATATGGGGTGGTCAGGAATGGCCTCTCTGAGCAGGTGATGTGGTGGCTTGAATGAGAAATGTCCCCCATAGTCTTGAGGATTTGAACACTTGATCCCCAGCGAGTAGCACCATTTATGGAGGTTTAAGAGGTGCAATCTCCTTGGAGAAAGGATATCAGTGGTCTGGACTTTGAGAGCTTAAAGTTTTGTCTACTGCCAGTATGTTATCTCTGCTTAGGGCTTGTGGTTTGAAGGTGTGAGCTCTCAAGCTTGCTGCCGTATGTCCCCATTTTAGTGGAGTTTTGTTCCTCTGGAACCACAAGTCCAAATAAACCCTTCCTTCTCTAGCTTGCCTTGGTCACACTGCATATGAATTCTTGTGCTGAGCTCATCTTCTTTTTCTTTAGTTCAGGACCCCTGCCCATGGAATGATGCCATGCCCATTCAGGGTAGGCCTACCCATCTCAATCCCAATCGAAAATTTCCCTCAAAGATACACCCAGAAGTTTGTTTTCATGCTGATTCTAAATCTTATCGAGTTTTAAACTGTCATATCACTTGACCTGAAATATTAGCTCAACCTTCGAATTTCTACACACGACCCTCAACTGAACTTGCAACACTAAATATCTGCAGGAAAAGTCAAGGCCTATTAAACAATCATTATTTTATTTATTTGTAGAACCCATTAAATTATTTTCAAGATTATGCCAGAATGTCTAATTAGTTTGCATGTATTTATTTTCAACATAACAGAGCTGTAACTCAGTTTACATATAGGAAACAAGCATTATTTGCCCAAAAAGCCAGGTTTCTCTGAACTCCACTAGGCAACCTTACTTAGTTCTCCACATCTCTTTTGGCTCATGTCTGAGTATGGACAGCTGACTGGTAGGTGCTCAGCTTACTCTTGGTGACTCCAGTAGTACACAGCTCATATGTATGAGACAAGGCTCTAACCACATGAGACCAACTATGCAGCTCATACAGGAAACAAAGGCAAAAAAAAAAATCTGCCTCAGCCGTAGACTGTGGTGTCCATAATACAAATGGAGGCACCACATGGAAGGGGCGAATTAAGTGATAATGTAGAGGAAACACAACTCATTTTGAAACCTCATAAATGTAGATCAGTTTCTTTCTTTTAAAGGATATGCTTTGGAGACATTCAACTGCTAATAGAACAAGTCCCTCTTGCTTACTATGTTACAGTTGCATAAAAAAGTTTGAATGCTTGAACTGCACTTTGGAAAGCAAGGAAATTGGGTTTAGGTGGGGAGAGACAAAGTTTGGACATTGAAGAGACCAAAGTGAACAGGAATCAAAGGTTTGTGTTTAGAGAAAAGTACATCAGTTTTTCTATGACTTCATTTTAAAAGTAGAAGTATGTGTGTATATGCAGATGTGTGTGTACATGTTATAATTTACTTATATGCTACTTTCATTTAACTACTGATAAAATGCATTCTAAAAGTAACAAGGTACATTACAAGCACATGGTAAATTAGAAAAGGGAAATAACCAAATGTCACCCTTGCTCTAATATGAAGGTTAGCCTGTTCCAGGAAAATATATGTCACTTTATTATAGGTTTAGCTTCCTTTTATTGAATAATAAAGGTTGAAGGTATATCTAGTTTATAGGAGCCGAATAAAAACTTTTGACAAAAAAGTAAGACTCAGGTTTATATACAATCATCTCTGGCTTATATTTAAGTGTTCATATATATATTGAAAATCTGTATGTCCACACATGGATATATATATATCCACACATGGATAAGTATAGAAATAAACATTACAGAACCAGAAGTAATATTCAAAATTTATAACTTAGGAAATAGGACACATATGGATAAGTATAGAAATAAATATTACAGAACCAAAGTAATATTCAAAATTTATAACTTAGGAAATAGGACACTATAAAAGTTATAACATTAAGTTTGAACTGTGGAATGATGCTCACTGTTAAAGTGTGATTCTTTGTGGCATCTTTTCTCTTCGCCTTAAAGACTTGAAGGTCACCAAAGCCACAAGTTTCTTCCTCCTCCTTTTCATTAACATGACCAGGAAAGTGCTGGAAAGGAAGAAAGACTGATATGGGCATAATCCAGCAAAGAAAGAATGGGTGAGATAGATAATTCCAGGAAATGCTCAAAATAGCTAAATTAGCCGCATGCCAAAGATATATGAAGTAATTTACTTTTTATAATGTTGGTTCAGCTGAATAAAATGATTTCATCTTCGAGTGTTCCGGTGATTATAACCAAAATGTGACTCACTTCCATGAGGGCTCCTCTCCCTCCTCTCTGGACAAAGTGGTCAGAATCAAGATAAATAAAAATACTAACAGCCGCAATGGGTTCCTCCATTGACAGGGCGCGCCTTCACGTTGCAAGGGTCAGGCTATGTGCTTCCTGATTTTGTGTTTGTACGTATCCAAGATGAAATTTTATTATGGGACACCGTGTAATATATGCAAACTTATGGAAAGTCATGCTCATTTGTCTACTTCAGTTCCATGCATTCATGAGGATGCTGTGGGACAGACAGGGGAGGAGTCTGAGTGCTCCTCAAGGGTCCACTTTGTGCTCTTAGCAATGGACCACAGAAGGAGCCTAAGCCACTTAAAGTGCAATGAAGAGAGACCTAGAACACCTTAAGACAAGTGATGAAGAACATCCACTTCCACTGTTATGCACCATGGCACCTCCTACCGTGCACAGAAGATCATCTATTAGGTGTTCTTTATTCTCAAGGGGTAGCCACCAATAGTATTGGCCTCCAAGTCACTGTTCATTGATTATTGTTTATTATTGTTGTTGTTATTAATTATTATCTTCTCCAGACCAAGTGCTATGCTATGCTTAATCTGTGCTTCTCTTATGTAAAATAGAAAGGACTAAACATGCCTAAACCCCTACCCAATCTCTACAGTCTAGAACAAAATTAAATGGAGGACTTCAGCAAACAGATGTGATCTTTCCAGAGTAAGATGGCTTTTATTTTTACTTCTGAGGACACACATAGCAGAGAGGTAGTGCCACCTCAAGGGGAGACCCCACGTCTTGGTTTACATGGGGTCTGAAATAAAATGAGCTTTTGCAATGCCTGGCTATTAATTAAATGAAGAACGAATGAGGCCAGACACCAGATGGGAGATGTAGGGGAAATGGAGTCATATTTGAGGAGGGGATTTCTCAAACCCAGAGCAGAGCGAGGAATGCATGTGAGTCGCCTATGAATTGGAGCTTACACAGAGCAATATAGAAACTGGCCTAACCCAGTGAGAGCCGGATCTGGCGTTGCATTGGAGGATACCGAGAGCTAGCTTCTTGGACGAAGTGCTACTATATGTGCTTACACATATAAACTACACAGAAACCTTGAAAACCATTTGCTGCCTATAAATTAATACTTGATGCGCAGCCCATTTTATGCAGTCATTAAAATAAGACCTGGGGGACTCATTCGAGCATTATTTCCTGGGCTTAGCGCTCATCCATACGTTTGAAGGAAACCAAATTTTCTTTATAAACATTCCATACTACATATTCCTCGTGTTCTCAATTCAGAAGATCTCCAATCAGTATTTTCTTGATGATACGTGTGTCACAGGGCAGCATTAAAATATAGCCAAGCGTATGAAAACATAATTTGTGCTAAGTAACCAGTCTGATTGCAGTATTTTTTTCCTAAAGAAGGGGAACAAGCTGACATTTTTGTGTCACAGACTCTGGTAATTGTTTCCAAAACCTAGCAAAGCAGTCACCCCCCCACCCCCCCCACACACACACGTAAAATAGCTTCCAACACCACTGGGCTCCGCGTGCCGCTGTGATTTAGAACGTGTTGGCGTGGATGACTCTGCCAGTTAGAAAATGCGATGAAAATATTGTCAAAAAATGCAACGGGCTTCGAGGTTCTGGCCCTGTTTCCTCAAAATCAGCAGTCTTTGAGCTTTAAATGGGAGCTGTACAAAGACTGTGACATTTGGAATGGTAAACTGTGTTGTGATTTATTAGTTTCTGGGGACTTCTCTGCTGTCAACTCTAACAGAAGCCCAAGTGAATGAATAATTCCTGTCACTCCCAACATCCCTCCTGCTTTTACATGGTTATGATAATTTATGGGCTGACGTTTGTTGCTTTTTTTAAGTGTAGATTTGTGAAATGGATATTTTCTTAGATATCAGTTCTCAAGTTGAGAACCCCAGGGGACAGACAGACACTTGAGATAATATGGAAAGACATATGGCAGACCCTATTTCTGGAGCTGAGTTGGCAGCTAAAGATAGCCTAACTGTTGTAGGCTTCCATTAATGTATATCCCCTCTAACCCTGGTCCTATCAGAACTATGAATCTTTTAATGATCTTCTTCTTGTGAATTTTAATATGTGAACGAATCGTTGGCTTCCAGTTAGATTCTGTTTGGAATTTGCAACCAGAGCAGTCAGCTTAGTGGTCAGCATGCAAACCTTCAGGGGATGTCTGTTGACAGCTTACCTTACTAGAGTTAGTGTATTTCATATGATAAAAGTCCTGCGATTTTGTGTTTTAAAAGAAGTCTCCCATTGCCTAAGTTAAATTATATTTGCTTGGATTTCTAGATTTTATTAGAATGTGGATGTGTGTGAGGGGGATGCAAACAGAGAGAGAGCTCGAAAGCAGGAGACAGCAGAAGATAAAGGAAGGCATGTGTCAAGAGAGAAGAATCAGGGCTGTCGAGGAACTGAAAAGGGACCCAGAGTAGACAAGAGAGACTGGAAAGGGTGGTAGGGGACATGAATAAGAACAAAAATAAGAGATATGTCTGAAAATGTCACAGTGAAACTCATTTGTGTTCTAATCAAGGAATTAATTTAAAAAGTCAGACACATACATGTGGTTGTTTTGTTTTGGTTTGGTTTTTTCCCCCCTTTGGTCCACATTAACAGGACACCCACTTTAGTAATAAGATAAAAAGAAGTTAGATTAAGAACATGTGACTGAAAGCTACCTAAAATTTGAGTTGTTTGATTCTGCCCCTGATTGCGTGTGTGCGCGCACATGTTTGTGCATGTATGGACATGTGTGTATGTGTGTGCACTGTGTGCATGAGTTTGTGTGTGCATGTATGTGCACATGTGTGTGTGATTGCATGTATATTTGTGAAGTTGTGCTTCTGTAAATAAGAATTAACGTTTTGGGTTTTTGTATTTTTTACTTCCTCCCCAATAAGTGACATTACTGACTTTTGCCATAATCAAGAAGTACAGACAGCCCACATGTTAATGATAAAAGAATAAACTAGAAATTATTTAGTTATTACTGAAAAGCGACTGCTTTCCTCAGACATACTGGGATAGATTTAATACAAGCATGCATGATCCTGGTGGATTCTGGGTTTCCATTACTCATGGCTTTGAGGAAACACTTGTATTTTCAGTAGGAAAGGAAATGATGAGATTGGTGATTAGCAAGTTACCGCAAATTTCCAGACAGACACCCTTTCTCTCAATGAGCCTGGAATACAGCAGTACAATATACAATAGTCTCTGGATGCTGTGGTAGAGAAGTCCACACCTCAGTGGCTCTCCCCTGAAGATGCAGCCACCTCATTCCAGATGGGACGAGCTCATGGCCTTGTGCATTTTGGAATCTCAGAAGGGAGCCTTCAAGCATTTCCAAGAGTTATGAACATCAAGGGTTTAAAGAAATAGTTGAGTTTTTGTAAACAGAGGGGGCAGGGATAAATGACTAACCAAGATGAGAGCAAATAAGATCTAGTTGAACAAATTAAAATATGCCAGGCGTCTTACTAGAACTTTCTAACCATTACTATTTAACAACAATGTCAAGTAAGTATGGAATTTTGTGAGTCATTGTTCAAATGAGCCTCTCTGTTCTCCAGGGTACAACTTAAGGAAAAAATTTATGTTTTTCTTGCCTATTTTTGGTGGACTGAGTGACAGACAGCTTAGCTTTAAATAGCGGCAAGGTATGAAAGACTATATTAGGTATAAACAGTGAAGCATGCTGGGAACTTCATGAACTGGCTAAGGATTGGAAGTTGGATTGTTTGGGTTGACATTTTTCTGTACAAAAGAGCAATAAGAGCAAAATCCCATTTTGCTCCAGTATACAGAAATCCAAAAGCACTTGGTTCTAGCGTGGACCTATTTGCATTCTTTCAAGTGAGGATTGGCAGCTAGACTTCTAAGAACCCAGCGTTAGGGGACAGTCACAATTGGATGTCATATTTCTTAAGCTTGGTGACACCCCTAAGGAAACCCTGAAGTTTCTAGTTGTGATTGTTATCTGTAGAACTCCTTGTCAGTACACACCACCAACTTGGGTCATTTGAGATCGTGAGCCCAAAGGTCCACCCGCCTGAAAATGTCTGACGTTAAAAGGCAATCTGAGCGTCTGTCAATAGTATTCCTCATAGCTGCTGACCCTTGACTGGCAGCTCACCACAGTGTTTCCACCCTGTCGCCAGTGGCCTCGCCATCTCCCTGCCAGCATTCTCTAAAGACCTTCACAGCCTGCTCAGACTTGCCTTCCTCCCAGGATGTCAAGTGCACAAATAAAGAAGATGCTTTCCAACATGACTCGAGTGAGCCCAACTTTCCAGTACAATAGGACCGCGATCTTTATTTACATAAAAAAATCCACAGTTGATTTATACATTGATTTAATTACATTTTAAAACAATCGTGTTACACTAAGCCCACAGTCTTATCAAATCCTCTAGACTTACCTCATATCGGTCCCGAGAAGGCGGTCCTTTCTGTCAAATCATGGTTGCTTCAGCCACCTTGAAGGATTCTGCCTTTGCTTTGACTAAACATCAATGTTCTCAGAATTATTTGTCTTCTCTCGTGTGTATGCCCTCTGCAGAACTAACAAGGATGGCCCTTTTCTCTCTCTTCAAAGTACGGATGCTGAAAATCAGTCAGAAAAAAGGAACTCCTTCAAATGCACACTTCTTCCCCTATTACTCCTTCTGAACACTTGGCCCACAGGGATGTCCTTCCAGAATCTTGGTTCTAGAGAATCACCCTTGCGCTCTAAAGGGTAGTGTCGCATTGTGATAATAGTACCGCATTTCTGATGTCAGAGATAAGTCACTGTGACAGTGAAATATGCAAGACATCTGTCTTTATTGCACATTGTCATAGAGCCAGAAGGACACTATTACTAAACACTCAAACAAAACATCAGAAATATATTTTAATAAATTTCATATATCTTCACACATTTTCCCCCTCGGCTCTTGATCCATTGTTTCCCCCCTTAGTTTTTCGACAATGAGCCAATTTACCAAATGTAAAATGTACACAACGAGACTATCATTTCATTCTAGATAAACTTAGTAAGAAATACACCCTTGAACCATGAAGACTAATCTACCAGGTTAATTTTGTACTATCCCTTTGTCAAAATTCAAATTCCGGGTAACAGACGAAGTTTCGCCACAGCGTCTCCGAGACATATTTATAATAACACCAGAACTGGACAATAAGCCTTGTCATTGCCAAGTTGTACAAATGTTTTCACAGGTGTTCAGCAAACAGGTGCGTTAAATCAGAGGAAACTCGTGACTGTGGCTTTAACAGTCAATTAGCAATCCACGGGGTTCTTTTACAGTCAGAACTTGGTAACAGAGCATTGCCACGGAGGTACTTCAGAAGACGCGCTCCTTTTACATTTCTGGGGTTTTCATAGAAATCCCTGGATTTAGAAAACTAGAATAATGCTCTCCATATGGATTTGCACAGTAGCTGGGAAGCAGGAGTCCATCACAAGCGGCCACTATGTCTTCCTGGTCTTAGAAGGATAAGCCTGTGGTTCTATGCTAACAATCCCCATTTTATTTCACAGCGAGTTTAGTTCTCCATCACACATCCTCACAGTTTCTTCTTCTCTTGCCCCTCAAAGTTCAATACTGAATTAAGGCTCTGCTGTGAGGCTTAAGAGGTCTTAGTCTTGATTCCTAACATCACTTCAGGATGCCGTGAAGGATGCATGTTCTTTATATTCTTGATTAGGACTCCAGTGAGCTGAGCTGCCTCTCGAGTGTCAACTTGTTGCTCTGTCATCTTGGAAAAAATCATTTTTATTCCTCATATATCTATCATCAGAAATCTGCTTTCTTACAGGATTGGAATTTAGAAAATTATATATATATATATATATGTTTTTTTTCAAGCCATAAATCTCCATTCCTACTAAAGCATTTAATGTTTGTCTCAGTTTATGTCCTAATGTCTGAAATATGGAAAACTAAATTAGCCAAATGAAGTCTTTTTTAATGTCAGAGAACTTGTGTTATCAATATATAAAAACCAGAATTAAAAAAATATAAAGCTTCATTGTAGAGGGAAATTCTACCAAGCCCACAATTTTGAAAGTGAGTTCTTGTAAAGGATCAAAGATGTTCCGCTCCCCTCAGATAGGGATGGGTGCTCCTTGCATGGCGATAGAAAGAGAAGCTAGAACTTTGATCTGTCACACAATTCATTACATTGCGTTTTATAAGCATCTCTTTTTTTCTGCCTCTGTTATCTAGGAGTCTAAACTGTCAACAGCAAAAGGAAAGACATTTTCAAGGATAAGCTTTGCAACCTGTTTATTGTCGCTCTCTTTGGCGTTCGTGATCTGACTGTAGTTAAGTGGGGAGTGCTTGCTCCAAATGTTTCCTGAAGTTTGTCTTATTGTATTCATGGAGCTGTCAAAAAAAAATCCTAGATAAATGTAAGCTCTGTTAAGAATAGTTGACCACCGCAAGATATAAGTAATCCTTCTCAGTTCAGCATGCTGCAAAGTTCGGGTGGGATAACTGGGGAATGGAAGAACGTGTACAGATCAATCAATAAATCTTAGAGCTAAGGTGGGGTCACTGGAGGATAGGAGAATGCGTACACCAGGCTGGCTTTGAATTCACAGTGATCTGCTTCCCAAAGGCTGGGATTAAAGGCATGAGCCACCACCGCCTCCCGGCTTAGGTTATTCTCCTGGGACATAATCACAGATTTTAACATAAATTATATGGTGGTAATTGGTATGTATGCTGTTCACCTGTCAGTGAGGGAAAGGTCGACCTGAATTACTGCAGCTTTGAAGATGATCATTAGATCAGTAGCCATTGTATCCGTGATTCAAGGTAGACCTAATTTGAATCCAGTCCGTCTTGGCCCCACGTCTTCTCTGATTTAGAATGTTTTCTGTGACCAATAACACAGTGTCTCAGAATGGCAGAGTTGAAAAGAACAGTGCTTATCTTAACTTATATTTCAGGTGTAAGGGAACCATCTTAGAGCATCATGTGGGAAGAGACAAAGAGTAGGTGCATTGTTTCGAACCTTCGGATCTGTTTCCTTCTCCTTCCGAAGCCATCAGGATTCAATTGCGTGGGCTCTATATCTAATTCTAATCGCTTCACGAAGACCCACCTCTAATAGTAAAAGTTTCTGCCAGTGGCGACCAAATCTCACACGTGAAGCTCTAGGAGGCACAAACTATATTTCGTATACATCCACAGCACCATCCTTTCAACACTGTTCAGTTGGGGGACTAGTCTAATTCACTGTATATAGTTGTTTTGTGCCTGACTCATCTTCATTTCCATAAAGAATCCATTTGACTTGACTCTGCAGCATAATCCCATGTCGTTTTCCTGGTACCGTACTGTTAAATTGAATGACTATCTTAGTGAAAAAAAAATATGCAATTCAGGCACTTAGAGGTATATTTTAATTATCTGTAAGGATTATAAAAGTAAATGTCATTGGGTAGGTAGGATGCTAGAGCAATATTTATGTGACCATACACAATAAGAATAACATTCATTTAGAGGGTTGTGCTGACTTCATGTTTGTGTAGGGTGCATATACTTATATAAGCATGTGTGCACATGTGTGTACCGGTGTGTTATGCACATCTGTCTATGAAGACCAAAGGTTAATGTTGACATCTTCTTCAGTTACCCTCAGCCTTAATTTTTAGGTCAGGATCCCACTGAATCTAGATTCCATCAGTAGGCAACGCTGACTAGCCAGGGAGCCTCAGCGTTCACTGGGGTGTCATTGCACCCAGCCTTACTATGGGTGCCAGGGAGCCACACTCAGGCATGCAAATGCTTGTGCATCAAAGAGTTTACCAACAGAGCCATCTCCTCAATCGCCATGACTAACTTTGAAGCATAGGGAAAATACCAGACAGTCTTACCTGTCTGGTAAAGATTTCTTTCTTCATCATGGCTTTAGGGAAAAATGCTGTTTTGGAAAATCAAGTGTTTTGAGTAGTTCACATGGTAACATCCCCAAAAGAATAATTACAGAATTCCTTCAGCCCATGATCTTTTTTCACATTTTCCCCACAGATACCATGCAATTTAATATGATTTAAAAGAATGATATATGTTCATGTAAGAGTCATGAGTGGCTCTATGACCTTTTGTTTCTTTAGTTCTTGTAATTACTTCTCTTCATTCCTAAATAATGAAGTTGAATGCACTGACCCCTCCACTGCACTGCCCAATTTGTCTTCTCCTGTGAGCCCATCCTCAAGGTTCATTAGCTCAGTAGTAGTGGGTGGTAGCATTCCTATGCTCGGGACATCTTGCCCATATATCGACAGTGATGAGTTCTGTACCGCCCACCTGGAGACAGAGGAGTTGATGTCTCATATGTGGGGAACAATTTGGAGGACGCATTCAGAAAGGGATCTGAGGTGTATTTTTGTTTTCAAAACTCAGGAAGTATAAAGAACAAAATGACCTGATTGGCATTTTCGTGTAAACATTTCAAAGCAGCATGCTGACATATTCTCACGGATAAGTGATGCAAGATGTCAACCTGAACTAAACCATTTGGCTGCAATTAAGAACGGAACTGATTTGGCAATTTTGAATACTTCTTATCTCACCACAGACAGAGAGAAAGGAAAATGCATTGATCACTTAGGGTATTTTAACCAGAAAGGGTGGTACAAAAAAGGTCATTTCAAAGCACACAAAAAACTCAAGATGGAATCTGCTGTAGATCCTTAGTGCATAGCATATCCTCCTCATACTTAAAATACATCTCCAAGCAAGCTAACATCCACAGTGTTTCCCCACTGTGTAGATTATCCATGTACTTACATCTAAATAATATGCAAACCACCGATATATTCCTTCAAAATAGCTATATCAATTTGAGTGGTTAAAATTAATCCATGGGAAAAAAATTTAGATCCGTGCCTCACCTTAAATTTCTGCTTGTTTGACTCTCTCACTTGACCTATGGCCTTGATGTTTATACTCAGCTCTGCCAAAATCACATGACTTACACAGAATTCTTGGATAAAATTGGAGAAGAGATGCTGCTTCTGCTGTTCTTCAGAATGCATGACTGAGTATGATGATAAATTATAAACTGAAGCATAATTATACATCTGTGACCACAGTTGCATGGATATGTGGTCAAACCTCTTAGGACAGACCCCCCAATCAGAAGAAATATTGCACAGTCTATCCTTCCTTCCATGCATGTTGAAAACAAAGGCCCCTCTGCTCCACCAAACAGCAATGAGGTATCGATAATGGAAAGACAGTTGGTACAATTACAAGATTTCAGCATGGCATCATGTCATTGCTGAAGTGTCAACCAATACAATCCATTGGCATACAAATACTGGCGATCTCTAGGGAAAACAAACTTATTGCCATGCATTACTTGAATTGGTATAATGTTGCCTTTTCTGTCAACTTTGTAAAGAACTGATTTAAGTAAATGTGGCCCTGTACAACCTATGAAAAATGATTTTGACCCGTTAATGCACTAGGGTCTTTGTTCTCTAGACTTGCCTACTTTGGGCAAATGATTTATATTTTATGGTCCATTGTCATCGTTTTGGCCCTGGTTCAATTCCAATTTAAGAAAATAGTTGAAGTGCTGTCTGCTAGCAGCATGCACACACTCCAAGAATGTGATGCCTTTCAGAATAATCTATGCTCGTTACGCAAATGCAGTCAGAGACAATTCTTTTCAGAGGAGAACAAAAGAGATTGGATTCTCTGTAGCTTAAATTGCTTCAAGAGTTCTCCGTGGTGGAATTGTTCACGTCTTTTGTGCAAACAAGGGAGACAGGATTGTGCATTTTTATTAGTCACCCAGGAAGCCTTCAGGTTTCAGGTTATTCCTAAGCATGCAAATACCAGGGCTCGTCTTTAAGAACCTCAAAAATGTCTTGCATGATTAGGAAGTTAGTCAGTTAACGTTTTGACAACTAAAACAATATAATGTTTAAAAAACTAACAAGTTACCCTTAGAAGTAACAGGATACATCACTTTAAAATTGAGCAGCCCAGGGGTTTGTGGCACCTTCCTTCGTTCTACTTAATCCTCCCTTGCTGTCTGAGAGTCCAGTGTTTTGCAAATATCTGCATTGAATTCTAATAATACATGTTGGTGTTAATTCTCTGCTCGGTGAAGAAATATTATTTCAGACATTAGCGGTTTTATGATCTGAGAATCAGACTACCTTCCACAGTCAGTATTATTCTGGTGTGAACACTGCCTTCCTCGTCATTCAGTATTATTCTAGTGTGAATACTCCCCTTCCTCATCAGTCAGTATTATTCTGGTGTGAACACCCCCTTCCTCATCCCGCTTTACAAACCCGATTCAGTCTTCAGCACAATATGTTGCTACCTTGTTTCAGAAGGCACAGTGAGGTCAACTTTGGAAAATGTCCTTACAATCCTCCTGTTCTGGGATTGTTTACCCCTTCTTGTTTTAGAAGCTGCTTCAGCCGTGGTCACAGACATCCCTTGAGGCAACTTTTCCATTTACTTTGTCCATGTAAGGGGAACAAATTGAAAGTTTTGCTACTGAGAGATTAAAATAAATACGTTGAGAGGAACATTCTCAAAGCTCCTGAACGGAGCACTGCCTTCTCCCTTGGGTCCATTGGCATCCCTACCCTACATGTTAAGGCTGCCAAGTCCAGTGTTTAGAAAGATGCCAGAGTTTTCAGCCAGAAAAGAGCTTCTCTGCTTGTATACATTGAAAACTAAAAGGTAAAATAACTTCTTAAAAGTGCATCACTATGAAAAGTGACCCACATGTATAAGGCAATGACTTCAAGATACCAGCCTATGTTTTTGAAATACTGGAATATGATACGTAACAGTGAATTCTTTGTAGGGTTAATGAAAAATCAATCACATAGGTATTTATTTAAGAAAAAAAATTTCCTTTGTGTGCTAAGTTTGGTTCATGAGGCCTCACAGAGGTTAGGCATCAAAATTAAACATCTTAAAATGAAATTTTAGGCTGTGTATACAATTCACTGGGTAGAACACATGCTAGGTTTGCATGAGGCTGGGTTTAGTCTACAGCAAAGAAACAAATTCAGACAGGAAGAAAGGTCTCTATTTTCAACCATTAGTGATCACCATTAAATAAAAATAGAGCTTTATTATCATAAGACAAAAAGATTAATGATAATGTAGTATTAACTTGTAAGTCAGCAATTCCCACCTGTGGGTCGCAACCCCTTTGGGAGTTCAATGATTCCTTCCCAAGGGTCATCTAAGACCATCAGGAAACAGGAACTAGCTCTTGTAGACCAGGCTGGTCTCGAACTCACAGAGATCCGCCTGCCTCTGCCTCCCGAGTGCTGGGATTAAAGGCGTGCGCCACCACCGCCCGGCCTACCATCAGGAAACAGATATTTAGGTTACAATTTGTAATGACAGCAAAATTAGTTATGAAGCATGAAGTAGCAATGGGAATAATTTTTATGGTTGAGGGGCACCACAACCTGAGGAACCGTATCAAAGAGTCACAGCACTAGGAAGGTTAAGAACCACTGTCTCAGGTACACCAAAACCAAAACTATGTTCATAGCCTTCAGTTCCATGATTTAGTATGCAAATTCTGCATCACCTCTTTTTTTTTCTTCCTACAGGAAAACTGAAGACTTTAATAACAAACCCTTCCAGGTGAAAATGAATACAGGTATGCTTTTTGTTCTTTAGCTTTGCTCTTCAAGCCACTTTGGTCCTAGATTACCGTAGCGCTATATTAATTGTAAATGAGTTTCTAGGTATATAGCGAGTTACTTTGCTTTATTCATCATGTTCCAATCTCATAGCCCAAAGCTCAATTTTTGTTACCTGCCGTTACTGATCTTTTATTGTATATTTTCTTTGTGTATTTGTGTGTTCATGTAGCAGGTACATATGTATACGGGTGTGTGTGTGTGTAGACCACACAGGTTAACCATCAGTATCATTCCTTGTTTAGTAATCCACCTTGATTTTGAGGCAGGGTCTCTCATTTTGGAACTCTGGGATTAGACTAGGATAGCTGTCCTGTGAGTCCCAGGTATCCCCCTGTCTCTGCATCTCCAGTAATTACACAACTGTCAGGCTCATGCCACTGTGGCCAGCTTTTTAAATGTAAATTCTGAGTATCAAACTGAAACTTTCAGACTTGTACGACAAACACTTTACCAACTGAGTGCTTACTGAGTTCCTGGTTTTTTGTTTGTTTGGTTTGGTTTGGTTTTTTGTTTCAATTAGCTCTTAAAGCTGCTTGAAATTGTATTTATACATTGAAGATCTCTTACTTAAAAGTATGTTAGGCCCAAAGGCAAGTTACTCTGGTGAACAATATTTAAACTTTCCATTTTATAAACTGTTTATTTATATTGACAAAGTCAGCAGATAGAATTCTAAAACCTCATACAAGATCTGTTTAATTGTTTATTATCATGATACTCAGAAAGCCATAAGCATGTTATTTTTAGACTTGCACACAGTATCCTTAAATATTTTAACACAAATGCCCCTGAACCCTGTGTTGTTTGCTTTTTAATGGTAAAATGGTTTGTGTAAATGTCTGGTAAATATATAAACCGTCACTTTGGTCCCACAGTTGACCTAACTGGCTGGTAACTTCACCTGCACCCTCCTTGTCAACAGTCTCATACACAGCATACCTGCACGCAGTCAGTAAAGAAGAAAAGTTTCTCACTGAAACCCTGTGGCTGTGTCACAGTTCATGGCTGCAGAGCTGTTTTAGCCGCCGCCCACTAGCAGAGCAATAAGAAAGTCCAGGCCCTTCTTCCTCGTCAAGCGCCTTGCAGCAAAGTGTCTAGAAGAAGGATTAACAACTGGCTGGTTAGAGCCAGTATTTAATCCCTAGATCAAGTGTGGAGACCCGGGCCAGGTCCACTCCCTATGGCCTCCTCTGAGCTGAAACCTGCTCAAACTGACCTCAGAGAACACTGCCCGTTGGTTCCCAAGGGCTGAGCACACATGTAGATAGATGTTGGGACCAGTGAACAAGACAGGGTGTTTGGAGAAAGAACTGATGAACTCTCAGAGAGCCAAGTAGAGGCATTTTTACAGGTGGAGATGGGCTTGCCTTCTTCAGTCTAGTGATGGCTGTCATTTCATATTGCATAGACAATGTAAAATGGACCCTGCTATGCAACCACAGAGTCCCTCCAGCAGAGAGGTCACATTAAGGGGCTGGGCTTACTCACTATTTCAGAGGTATCTCCTCTGAAGATGGAAGTTCTGCACAGCTTCCCAAAACAGGATCTTCCCATTATGAGAAATATGCATATATGATTATAATAAACATACTGTACTTATATATAATCTATTTAACAATTGGTCTACCCATTCCCATAATTGAATCCTAATAGCAAAGTAAGCACAGCGAAACAGGAAGATTGTTTAACTCTCTGGTATCTGAGCCAAGTTGCTCTGAGCAGCCCAAATAGAAACCTGTATTTCTACAGGTTAATAAAGCCTTTCATTTATACAGAGTGATCTTGACTCTAGATGGGCGGGCACGGACGTGCATTAAGATTGGGTTGCCTATGTGGATAAATTTACCTATGGAAACATGCAAATTTAGGTATAAGTTGAAACCCTTTACTTAAAATTCCAAATCAGTTACAAAAAAAGTACAGACAACAAATATTTCAACAGAAGATAGGTACTGATTACTTTCAGGTACAAATTGCTTTTGGAGACAAATTATTGTCACTGTTTTCACAAAATTAAGGAATAATTGATTCCTGAGTAACTAATAAATAAAATTGGCTCACCTTACCTATCCATTATTAATAATATTTAATATTTCTTAAAACTCGATACGCCAGGTCTGAGACAGTGGCTCAGTTCTGTCAGCTGCCTGCTGCTCAGTCATAATCCCAAACACCCAGGTAAAGGGCTGTGTGTGAAACAAGCACCGGTAGTGTCAGTGCTGGGAGGCAGGAGGAGGAGGAGAGTCCTGGGGTTCCCTGGCCAGATTAGCCAATCATCATCAGCGGGCTCCACGCTCAGTGAAAGATCCTGCCTCTAAGGTTGAGAGAGAAGCAAGAATTCTCCTGGCCTTGACCCCTGACCTCCAGCAGCACCCACATGGACAGTTCACACAAATAAGCAAAAAATCCTACTTTCTAGTCACTAAGGTCTAAAAATTATCTTATGTCTAATCTTTACTTTTAATCAGCTACATAACAAGCAACCCAAGGAATAAGTTTCATTTTAGAATGTCTACACTATGACCTATTTCTACTCATAACAATTGTGACCTATTACTTTCTAAGGCATATCATATGATAGAGTTCACTATCATTAAAAGGGGGAAATATAATTCATAGACTATGGTTTACCCTTCTAAGCATTATTATCTAGAAAAGGAAACAGCGATTGGGTGTAAGAGTACCCAACCAGGTTGGGGTTCGTAAATGACTATAAGGCCAGCACTTGGTTGCTTTGGGATGAGCTATGTGTCAGAGACAGCATCCTGATATGGAGTCCCTCAAAACATCTTCAAAATAAATATATAAGTAGAAACAGAATATTAATTTCTAGTGGTTTGTCTGTTTCACCTTTTAAAAAATAAGACCTTTTCTAAGTGTTAGCAAGCAAAGAGTCTCCATTTACTGAGCCTAAAGATTTCCATACTTTTTTGTCTCACAGTGATAGTGTCTGAGTATTTTTTTTGTTGTTGTTTTCATGTTGCTTCTAAGCCTAAATGAAGTATCTAATAATTCTATTTATTAAGCAGTTTGGTGCAAACAATATAATAAGCATTTATGTCCCACCAATTTAAAAGTCACTTGTCAAAATAATACATGTGAATTAAAAGAGAAATAGTAATTTACTTTCAACGTACCCACAATTACTTAGTGGTCTGTGTGTGCCTGTCACACACTGAGACTTCAGACCAGGAAATGAAATTGGATATTAACTACCTTGCTCACCGATCCAAAATGACTTTCCTTAGGGCACTTGCTCTTTGAGAGCAACCCTCCATAGTCTAGCTCTTAGAAATACAATGTGATCAAAATATAATATAACCTGTCATACTAAAACTCTGAACTACTTCAGTCTAATGTTTCCTAAAGTACCCCCTTCCATGCACAAAATTCTCCAGTATTCTCCGACAGCCTTGTGGATTCACGGAGATGCCGGGCATCTCAGCGCACCGTGTGAACAGGCTGTGCTTGAACCATGTCCCTCACTCTGCTTGTTCTGAGACGTTATCTTTTCAGACACTGAGAGAGAAAATCCTGCTAAAAGTGACGTCACTTTTCACTTTCCTTGACTACCCAGCCATTTTAGACCTAGTGACTAGATCTTGTGTCCTATGTGATGCCCAATCAGACATGCTGTCTTAGCAAACTGAAAACAGCTATTGGTGTTCTGTTGAAGGTATCTTCAGCTGTAACTTTCTACCATTTGTGTCTTTTCTACTGGTTCCTAGCTATACATTTTTAATTATTCTTTCAGGTTATTTGCATTTTCTGTTTCAACTCAGGTTTCCTGATTAATGATCTTTGCTTACAAAGTTATAATTTTAAGTCAGGTTTTATAATAGAAAAGTTACACCAATTTTGTGGTCTACTGACCTCACTCTCTTACGATTTTTACCGGTAATTAACACATAATTCTAAATCTCTATTTTCTCGTGTTTAATTAATAGGCTGGGTATTTTGCCTATGAAATAGAGAATGAAGAAAGCATATGACAAAATACAACAATTATATTCTTGCAGTTATTTTCTGATATCGGTGGTTATCTGCCTTGTCTCTGTGCATGGTCACCTTCAAAAGGAGAGAGCTGAGGCGGCTTTGACGAGCAGGGGAAGATGGAGAGCTATTTATTGTCCATGCTATATTACCAAGGAATGTGGGCGCAGAATCAGACTTCTGTTCAGAAATAGAGAGCTAACCTTTCGGTCTCGGAGGCTTGTCTTCCTAATTTAGAAGTCTCTCAGCTTCTCATAGCACGGAAAATGACTGACGCATGTTGTCCATATTTTGCTTCACATTTTGATTTTTCTCCATATAGATATAGATTATGCTACAACTATTATTCCAAAGCATAAGAGCGATCTATCCATTAAAAAAAAAAGTCTCATTTCACTGTGTACATCAGTGCTGTCCTTAACTTCAAACAGAATAACTATTTCAGAACTGTAAGAAGACATGAAATTGCATAAGGCTGTGTGATTCCTTATGATGTGTGTTTATGAAGCATGTAATGCCTATGTCAGCTGAAAATAATACTTCAAGAATTAGTGAATCAAGGTAACTCATCCCTGATTATCTTTAGTAATCATAAGTAGAATAGATTAAGTCTAATCTAAACTATTTACATATATAACCATGACACTTTAGGCTGAAATACAGATAATCCCTCACTATAAAAGCTTGCTGTGCTGTTTCTAAACCTAGTGTGCATTAAATACTAATTTTGCAAAGAAGCTGAGCTCTGTATCGGGGATATCATTAAGTAAAAAGCGTTGAAAATTAAATGTAAGACCTTTTGTTTTGTTAAAGTATTGCTGCCTTCTCTGAGCAGACCCCTGGCTTTTCACTTCTGTTCCCATTTTCTCTTTCAGTCTGGGAGGGAAATTTGCAGGTGTATTCCACGATTACTAATGCTCGACTGGCCACCTTTCTCGCGCGTGTCTGACACGTCTCACTTTTAAAATGCATGACATTGCATGTGCTTTCTCTGTGGCCTCTGCTATTTCATTTTTTTTTTGCTTCCAGATAGCGGTGGGTGTGCTCGCAAGCGTGCGGCCATGTCTGTCACGTTAACATCTGTGAAGAGAGTTCAAAGTTCGCCAAACCTGTTGGCTGCAGGTATAACACCACTAACTCACCGCGTGATACTCAAATGGCTCCACCTCCCACCCTCTTTCCAGAGTCATCCTGGCGGGATGGGAACAGACAGTTTAAATGCCTTTCAAATCCCCAATTATTTTTTTCTAATTCCAAGAATAGCTTCTATCCTTTCTGGTTTTGTTCTAAAAATAAAAAAGCCAAAGGAAACTGATACCTTGTTAAAAACATCAGTCACTTGCCAAAAATGTTAACTGCAAGAGTTAATAACTATTTACGTTCTTGTTATCTCATGAACTAAAGCAACATGATACTCGGAGAATTCAGGGTTAGGGAAAAAAAAAAAGACTTGATCAACATAGATCTTAATTAATGTGGTTCTTCTCAAAGATTGAAAACAGAAAACAGACCTTCTTACATCTAATATGAACTTTAGAATATATCAAAACCTTGGTCAGTTGAGATCAATATGAACCCACAGGTAATATACACTCCTGAAAGCAGTTGAGGGTAGCTCCTTTGTCACTAAATGTCTGCTATGACTTACCTTCACCTGTGACAGACTTCATCTGGAGAGTCTGCAGGGGGAGTGTGCAACGTGGAAGATATACCGGTGTCCAGCCTGTCCCTAGACCTTTAAAGGAGTAGTACACAGCTCCTGTTAACTGGCTAATTAATGGGTTGATGTGGTTGCCATCTAGGGTTTCCTTGGGTTGATTTATAAGATTAATTAGTTATACTGCAGGAGGAGGAAAGTGAAGGAGTCACTAAATAATTTTATACCTCAGTCTGTGTTTTAGTCTTCTATACACGTTTAGTGAAAGTTGGTACTGATGATGTCCTACCCAGTGTTATGAAAGAAAAACAGACTTTTGAAGGTGACTCCACCTTCTCACAAATGGACATCAAGGTCCAAATTTAAATGTCAAGTCAGGAGTCTCATGTTATCCTTCAAGCCATTGCAATGTATGTAATCTGATCTCATTTTGGGTTTTAAAAACACTTTGAATATGTTTCTCCATGCATGTATGAATATGAAGAGATATTATAAAAGCTATAACCGGGCGGTGGTGGCGCACGCCTTTAATCCCAGCACTCGGGAGGCAGAGGCAGGCGGATCTTTGTGAGTTCGAGACCAGCCTGGTCTACAGAGCTAGTTCCAGTCTCCTTTAAACCCTGGGCGTAGAATCCAGAAAACACGTTATGAATAATTCAACAAAATTAGTTTTTACTGGATTATATTCATTTTTATTCTAATTTATGATCATCTATAATGAATGAAAATATGTTCCTCTTCTAAAACTCACCTATGATAGAGTAAAAATCCATCCTCAATATTTTATAAACAAGACTTTGTATTTCTCAACCCACTAAGCCTCATTCCAAATGTATATGTATAAATTTTAAAATGATATCCCTGAAGCATTTGGGAAAAAAACAATGAGTTATTGACTCATAATAATTTATCCATGGTCCCAGGGAACAAACGAAAGGAATCCAGGAGCTAGGCCGCAGTGAAGTAAAGAACTCCCATAATCCTTTCCAAGATCAAGGTTTTATAGGTCCAGTAGACCAAAACAGTGCAAATGAATTCCCCCAGACAGCCATATAGGAGGCTCTTGAATATATAGTTCTGAGACAACTGACCATAAGTATATGGTTAAACCAATTATTTACTATGATTTATTCTCCTTGGCTTCTGAGCAGAAAGACAATGAAATACACTATAACTGCTTTCATAATTGGATGAACTTTGAAAAGACAGTAAGAAATTTAAATCCTAGAGAACAATGAAAGTCAGATCTTGCTCACTAGATGCATTTGCCTTTTGTGAATATTAAAAAAAAGCAAGCTATTGAAATATTATCCACTATCTACTATAGCAGTTAAGTTTAGGGAGTCACAGGGGCCTTCATCCAGCGACAGAGCTGGTGACTACCTTGAACGGCTTAAACAGAACTCACTGTTTTGATAAGCAGGTTTTTTTCAATCCTTTAATTCTATGTTCAGAAGTCATGTGGCACCTTGGGCCACAATAATCTTGAAATTACATGGTTGCAATATTATTAAGGGTGAAATTAGTGTTTGATATTTGTTCTAGTTATAGGGTGAAAATTAGTGTTTGATATATGTTCGAGTTATAGATTGTAGGTATTTAACAAATAAGCCTATTGAAATTGAAAAATCACACCCAAGCCTCTCATTAAGACATTTAACGTACTCCGATAATGTCGGCCAAAACAATGCACATGGTTGTTTGCCAAGCATTTTTACTGAAGGTTTGGTTTGGTTTACACTCGCATTAATTGCAACATTGTTTCCCTTTCAGGGCGTGATTCTCAGTCTCCAGACTCAGGTACAGAAAAAAAAAAAATACTGTGAATAACCAATGTGCTTGTTCCAAGAACATTTTTTTCTTTTGACATATCCATAGCCACATCATTGATTTCATATTCAATTTAAATTCCATACATTGTTATGTATACTAAATTAAAATCTTATGAAGATCACTTTGATTTTAAAAAGACAAATCAATTTTCTCACACCCCCCCAAAAAATATTCAAGTGAACGTAGATATTTCTGTGTCCAATTTGTTTTCCCTTAACAAAAGCGTGGAGATCTTACAGTGATCGAAATCCAGAGACACTGAACGGAGATGCCACATATTCCTCTCTTGCAGCAAAAGGTTTTAGAAGCGTCCGACCAAACCTGCAAGACAAAAAGTCACCAACCCAGGTAATTCAAACTGCTGTGTGTCTCATGTCTGACCTCTGTTTGCTCTTCCTCTAAGGGACCTCTTCCTAGTGTCCTAGCTTTAAAATGCTTCTGTGTTTTTCATTTTGTTTCCCTTGTGGCATTAACATGTCCAACAGGGGGCATGAGTTTTCAGCTCAAAACAGGTAGGTTTTCTTCTGTTGTTGTTGATTTTCTCTTTATTCTCTGGTTCAGCTTAAAGTAGGTCAGCTTCTACCATATTGTTTAAGATAAATTCTAATTATTAAAGCTCTGATGGCTGGTGTTTTGGATTCTAGAGTTTGAGAGTCAAGGATACATTATCTATTGCAGGAATGTAAACCAGACAAATGCTGAGCCTTTGAGATGTTAGTAAAAAAAAAAAATGCAGAATGTTCTAAAAACCATGTGGCTAAATGAACTGTCAACCTCTAGGTCTAAAAATAGGACAGGATAACATATGTTCACTCTTAGCATAATTTATAAACCTGTGGACAGAAGCAGTATCTTTACAATGTATTCTAAACTAAAGCTTTTCCAACTTGGGAGAAACTATTGGTAATAACCCACAAAGCATTCTTCCAAGACTGAAGGGAACTGTTCAGTCTAGCCTGTACAGGGCACAGTGTGTGTTTGGATTTCTTTGGGGTAGCTTTGACAATGTTCTTCTCATGTCTAACTTGGACTTTCTTTCTGTTTTTCCTTCAATGTCATTTCTCTTTCTGAACACTTTTGGCCATCTAGGCACCCATTCCACCAGGCAGGAAAGAGAGCTTTTGCCAGTCTTTGATAACCGATCCAACAAAGGGTGACATTTTAGATTCAATAGTAACTAACACAGAAAGCCCATGGCGTACAGAGAGCTTCGCTAACCTTAAACCTCTCCATGGAGCTATGCTTTCTAGTGAAGACTCTAACCAGACAATAGTGTACTCTGAGGAATCCAACAGAACGGTGTCATACACACAGAAAATCACTAACCCACTACCAACATCCCCCAGCTCCAGTCCTGCACCATTCGGAGACACTAACACATTTCTACAAGAGGACTACATGCAAGATTCTCAAACCCGAAGAATTTCTACCTTGAAACTAACCCATAATCAGACCCAAGGGAATGGTTCCCCCTTTAAACCACCACAGCGTTCCCAACCCACTGACGTCCCATCATCTCTGAAAAGGTCTTGCTCACCAACCCCTAGCCCAGGACCCAACACACACACAGCAGCTCTCTCCATTCAGATAGCTCCCCATTCAGGAAAGGATCTTGAAAGCCACCAGCAGTTCCCTGAACTGCCTCCAGAAAGTGAAAAGATGCTTCTTCAGCAAGAGAGACAAACATCTACAGATGCCGAGACCTGTCTGACCCCGGCGGTACATTGCGCTTGCTAGTCTCTTCTGTGTGTGTTGCACGGACCCTAACTCCTTGGGTTTGAGCTTCTAACTAAAACTAATGTTTTGTTAGTTTCTAAACAGAAAGGGAAAGGAGAAAGTTTCTAAACAGAAAGGGAAAGGAGAAAGAAACTATTTCAAACCTGACTAAACTCAGTCAATTTCTTGTATCTTTTTATTTAAATACATGCACATAGAACTTTCTTTCTACCTTTTTTCTTGAAAATCATCAATAGAGAAGTTGTCACTTAATTTAAGGTTGGATGTAGTTAACTGTATCTTACTTCCAGGTACCAAAGACCTATCTTTCATGTCAGAACTTTGGAAGTTGTTTGAAATAAATTAACCTAATTTAAATGTACAGCATCTTTTAAGATTATTCTCAATCATAATATACTTAATTTCAGGCAGCATTTTTCCCTTTGTAAAAAACTTTAGAAAGCATACTAACCAAATTTTATTACCTAGATTTTGGGGGTCCTTGTAGTAAGGAGGCTGCTTGTTTGGTTCCCAGTCGCCCGGCTAGCTTAGACCCGAAGTAATCACACAAGAAATTGTATTGATTAAAACACTGCTTGGCCCATTAGCTCTAGTTTTTTATTGGCTAACTCTTACATATTAATTTAATCTGTACATCACATCTGTCTCTGGTGGCGGCTCCATGGCTTCTCTCTACCTTCGCCTTCTTTCTTCCAGCATTCATCCTAGCTTTCTCCCCCTACCTCTATTCCCTGCGCAGGCCCAAGACAGTTTCTTCATTCATTAATGGTAATCACAGCATACAAATGAAAATCCCAGTTCAGTATAAGGTGTCTCTAGGCATTCACCTGAAAAGGTAGAGTATTGGATGAGAGGGTTTGAGGCTCTGGTTGGACCTAAGAGTGACCAGCTTACAGATGATTATTGTAGCCAATAGACAGGGAAGTCAACATGGATGGAGGAAACCCAAGAATTGAGCTTGTGCAGATCTTCCATTCAAAGGAAGAACCAGCCAAGCAAACTGGCTGGCACTGATATCTCCAGAAGGAGAGGAAAATCCAGGAAATGTGGTATACTAAAACCCAAGAGAGAAAATCATAGGAGGATGGGAAACACAACTTCAAATACTGTTGATAGGACACATAAATTGAAATCTGAAAGTGTACCACAGAATAGAAGTGAGAAGGAGGGCTATCTACAAGTGGCCTTAAGATCAATGGGAAGGCGACCAATCAGATCACAGCTTCTTTGAAGGTGTTATTATGTGTATCCCCGAACTTTGTTTCTTCATCTCTAATATAGGGGTAATAACAATCACCTTTGAGAGTTTCTTGGCAGGTGTGATATTATATACGGGGAACTCGGCACACTACCTTCTACATAGTAATTCCCCAACATGCAGAAGCTGTTTTTTTTTTTTTTTAGTTTTTTCGAGACAGGGTTTCTCTGTAGCCTGTCCAGGCACTAGCTCTTGTAGACCAGGCTGGCCTCGAACTCCCAGAGATCCGCCTGCCTCTGCCTCCCGAGTGCTGGGATTAAAGGCGTGCACCACCACCGCCCGGCCAGAAGCTGTTATTTTAAAACAATATTTTCCAAACTATGTAATAGTTTGGGAAAGTAAATTGATAGCTACATTTTTCTCTGCTCCCCTCCCTTTCTTTCCCCTCCACTTCAACCCTCTCCCAAGGTCCCCATGCTCCCAATTTACTCAGAAGATCTTGTCTTTTTCTACTTCCCATGTAGATTAGATCTATGTATGTCTCTCTTACGGTCCTCCTTGTTATCTAGGTTCTCTGGGATTTGTGGGCTGGTTTTCTTTGCCTATGTTTAAAAACCACTTTTGAGTGAGTACATATGATAATTGTCTTTCTGGGTCTGAGTTACCTCACTCAAATGATGTTTTCTAGCTCCATCCATTTTCCTGCAAAATTCAAGACGTAGTTATTTTTTCTGCTGTGTAGTACTCCATTGTGTAAATGTACCACATTTTCCTTATCCATTCTTCAGTTGAGGGGCATTTAGGTTGTTTCCAGGTTCTGGCTATGATAAAGAAAGCTGCTATGAACATAGTTGAGCACATGTCCTTGTAGCCCAATTGAGCATCCTTTGGATATATACCCAAAAGTGGTATTGCTGGGTCTTGAGGAAGGTTGTTTCCTAATTTTCTGAGAAATTGCCACACTGACATCCAAAGGGGCTGTACCAGCTTGCATTCCAACCAGCAATGAAGGAGTGCTCCCTTTATCCCACATCCTCTCCAGCATAAATTGTCATCAGTGTTTATGATATTGGCCATTCTTACAGGTGTAAGATGGAATCTCAGAGTTGTTTTGATTTGCATTTCTCTAGTGACTAAGGATGTTGAGCATTCCCTTAAGTGTCTTTCAGCCATTTTAGATTCCTCTGTTTAGAGTTTTATGTTTAGGTCTGTACTCCATTTTTTATTGGACTCTGTTCTTTTGATGACACAATTTTTAAAGGATGGATGAGAGCTTATTTCATCAGATTAGTGTGTTATATTGTATTGTCTTAAAACACCTTATAAAAGGTGGCATAAATTGTTATGATTTTTAATTTTCCCAAGAATGTGTGAGATCTACTTTCTTCACAATATTTTTGCAATTCATGTATGTGGCAGGTGCACTTGTATGTTGGCATGTGTTGGGGGTCTTTCTGGATTATTCTCCACTTTCTTTATTGAAACAGAGTCTTTCACTAGACTTGGAGCTTGCTAACTCAGGCCAGTCTAGTTACTAGCATCACACAGGGATCCTTAATGCTTAAACGGCTGGGCTTTTCTGTGGGTTCAGAAAATCCCAACTCTGGTCTTTGTGTTTCCTAGCAAGCGCTTTATCAACTGAGCCATCTCCCAGGCCTTTGTCCACAATCTATAAGCGTTCCACACACTATTGTCTACTTGAGGCATAATTTCATATAGGAAATTCCTAGAATCTTGCCTAAATAAAACTCTGAACTCCAGAGAGCAGCTCATGTTCCCCTCCCCCAGCCACTACCTCTCCTATCTGCTTCTGTGTCAACTGTTTCGGTTTCTTCATGTAAGTGGAATCATGACATATTTGTTCTGTGACCAGTTCATTTCTCTTACATAATGTCCTCTGGGTTATCTATGTCATTATATAATGTTCTCTGGGCTTTCCATGTCAAAATGCATGGTAAAATTGCTTTCTATTTTAAGATGAAGGATAGGCCATAATAATATGTATCACATTTCTTTATCTATTCTTCCATCAATGGACACTTAATTTTCATGTCTTTCCTATCATGGCAAACTTCACTTTCTGTTTAATGGTCTTTCCCAGTGGTTTTTACATTCACATTTTGGCAGGAGGACTTAATAAATGTCAAGGCCTGTAATCTACACTCTATGAATAGGCCTGTAATCTACACTCTATGAATATAAGTGTGTGTGTGTATGTAGTTTAAAGAATTGATCTCCCAAGAAATTAAAAGAAAAAAAAAACCAAAAATACTGTAAGAAATGAAAAATAAATCTTAGTATTTTAGAAGTCTCATTTACATATATGTTAAACTGTCAACTAGTGTAAAAAGAAGATTATAGGCTCCTGCTAGGGCTATTCCCTATACCTGACAAGTTAGTCATATGGTTTTAT